AACAATCTCCTTGTTGTTCTTCAGTTCATCTGATGCGTATTGTAATGCACGCCAATCTCGTGTTACAGCAGCCATGACACTCTCCTTGTTGGTGCGTTCCATGTTGCCGACAAAAACGACGGAGGTTCGGTGTCTGCGAAGCTGGGCGCGGCAAGTCGCTCTTGGATTCGATTCGCCTCGATTTGGTTTGGTTTGGTTTCGTTTGGTTTGGTTTGAGCCAGCTGCAAGACAACAAGAGAATCTTCTTTTTTCGAATCGCGGTTTGTTGAGGATGCGATTGTGCAGGTGTTGTTTGCAATATCTCTTCTTCGGATGTTATGGTCGTCGATGTGGAACTCAAAAAGAATCGGACGAACCGAATGGAGCAGAAGAATCCATCCACGGTGTTTTTGCTTGAGCTCTGAAAAGAACCATGTTGCGAGTACAGCTTCGACTCCACTCGAAAAGCTTTTGTGATTGGCGTCCACCGTGGCGAATTCCTGTTGCATTGTTTCTTCCGGATTGTTGTTTTCACGAAACGAGTTCGTACGAGCAACGGTGGATGTAGCAGCACGGTAGGGTCGAAAGTCAAAGTTTTTTTGAAACCTCACTACGGTACGGTACCACGGTAGGTGCGATCACGACTCAAGAGCTGGTTGAAAGAAACTGGGGATCTGGTCGTACGAGCAAAATTGTTGGATCCTCGCATCCAGCGGAGTGGGCGGAGCGGGCGGAGGGCCTGATGAAGACTCATACCGTATGTACGTACGGTACGAGACTGAAAAATCGTGGGAACAGAAAATAATTCAACGAAGTACGTACCGGTACCTACCGTTCTGTACCGTAGCGTGCACTCTCAATGTACCTGTATCTACGAGTAGTAGTGTACGGGACTTTACGTACTTTCTCGACTCTTCGTGTGGATTGGTTCTGTGCTTCCATGACACTGCCGTGAACGGTTGAGTCCACTTTCTGTTCCACCCGTGGGTCCAACCCAGGCCATGGCTCGTTGCGGAAATCGCTAGCAAAGTGCGAAAGGTTTGGCTTTTGTCCCGCCACCTGCCACCGATCCGAAACACGCACGCACGCACACAGACAGACACACACACACTCCGAGCTACCGGCACCGCATCCGGGGGGGATGGTCTCGGCGGGTTTTTCGTCGCTCCGTTTCTTCTCCGTGGTGGCGGTGTGCCTCTGGGCACGGCGGCCCGCTCGGGGGCTGCTCCTCCCGGCCGGGGCCCGCGCGCGGGGGCACCGGCGCCCGCTTGCGGCCCGCGGCGTGGCGGGGGGTGGCATGCCTTCCGCAGAGGAGGGGAGCGGGGACGGCGTCGAATGGTGGCGGGGGACCTCGCCGTCGACCGGGGCTCCCTACCAACTCGCCTACCGGCACGTCGCCCCGGCAGCGGATCTTTCCGGGGGATCCTGTGGCGGAAGCAGCAACAACAACAATGGCGGCGAGACGGACCCACACCGGAGGGAGCACACCCGGCAGCGACCGACGATCCTCTTTTGCAACGGCTTTCGGTCCGAGATGTCCGGCGGGACCAAGGTCCTGGCCCTGGAGGCCCACTGCGTGGCCAGGGGTTGGGGCTTTTGCGCCTTTGACTACCGGGGCCACGGGCTGTCGAACGAGCGCGGCGCCGTTGCGGAACAACAACAAGACGAAGACGACGACGGCGGCCCGGTGCTCACGGACTGGATCTCGGACGCGGCCGCCGTCCTGGAGGGGGTCGTCCTGCCGCGGGCCGGGAGCCACCCCTCGGTGGTCCTGGTCGGCTCGTCCATGGGGGCGTGGATCGCGGTGCACCTGGCGATGCGCTACCACAACGGCGCAAAATCCGGCGGAAACAGCGACCACGAACGCAAAAACAAAACCAAACGCAAACGCGAAAGCAAACCCAGCGACGGCCCGCCGCCGCCGCCGGTGGTCTCGGGGATCCTCGGGATTGCCTCCGCCCCGGACGTCTTCTCGGACCTCTGGGACTCGGCGTCCCAAGAGCAGCGAAGGGAGTGGAGGGCCGCGGGGATGGCCAGGCTCGCCTCGAGCCACGCACCCGGGGGCGGCTACGCCGTCCCCCTGGCCCTGATCGAGGACGCCCGGGAGCACTGGGACCTCCTGGGGGAACACGGGAGCGGGAAGGGCCTTGCCGTCTCGTGCCCGGTCGGCCTCCTCCACGGGAAACGGGACCGGGAGGTCCCGTGGACCCGGTCCCTCGCGCTGGCGGAGGCCCTGGAACAAGGCAACGGCAGTGGCAGTGGCAGCGGTTCCGTCGACCTGCGCTGGATCGAGGACGGGGACCACCGGCTGTCGCGCCCGGGGGACGTCCGGGCCATCCTGGACGCCCTCGACGCACTGGTCGCGGAGGCTTGCGGCTAGAAGGAACGAACGAAGCGAAACGAAACGAACAAACAGACCAACCAACAAACCACCGCGGCCGGAGGATTTTTGTTTGTTTTTGGAGGGTGGGCTTGCGCAAAGCCTTTCGCCCGGGGTATGGGACGGCGGGTGGCCAGCGAAACACGAAAGGTAGCGCGCCAAAACGTTCTTCCGACATCGTAGAGAGCAACACTGCGCTCTGATTAGGTCGCTTTGGTAGACCGTTGTTCCTTGTAGAGATAACACCATAACCCACGGAAGAATGGCAAAATCCATTAGAGACATTGCAGACAACTGTATTCTTGTGACTTGGTTGCCCCTACGATCAAAATCTGAGGTCTGGTTGGCAAGAATTGCTACTAAATACTTCTAGTACTGTTAAATACCAGATTCTGGCCTGTTCTAGCAATAACACCGCAACGAATGGGAGAAGAGCAATTGTTCAAAAATCTTGTAGTCATACGCATTCTTGAGACCTGGTTGCTCCTAGTTTCAGAATCTGGGGTCAGTTTAGCGGGGGCAAGTGAAGAAATGGGAACATTCCAAACTCCTACATCCAGATGATCTCTTTTGAAAAACAATGGGTAACTGTTGCATAAAGCTGAACTGACGCGGTCTATGCCACTGCAATCGATTTCGAATACTGCATCACCGCCCAAAAAATAGTCACTTAGTGTTCCCGTAAAAGATGGCCCAAGTTAAATATTCCAAAAATTGCTACTTCGGGACCGTATGAAACCCAGAAATAATGATTTGATCCAATTCGTCCAAACAACACTTTTCAATCGAACTGATTGCTCAAACAAATTAGCTGCTCTCGTGCAAAAACCTATAAAATTGACCGAGGAGTGACCCATGAAAGATTTATCGGTAGATTTTTCGCAGTAGGGCTAGCCTTTCGCGGTCTAGGGATTGCGAAAAGAGATTTGAGCCAAAATGTGTGGCCATGCGTGTCTTTTCAATCCCATCGATTACCCGCGAAACAGACCTTTGACCATCCAAAACGGAAAAAAATTGACCCAACGGCGACAAACGAAAGACCATTGCTGTGTGCATTAACACAGTGTAATGGGTGCCAATGGGCCGAATTTTTGCGCGTCGGATTCGTCCATGTGGCAGCGCGCGGACCCCGAGTCCCCGGCAACGCATCAACTCGTCTCCCCCTCCCCGCCGCCGTCTTCGCTCGGGTGGAGCCGGGTTTCGCCCGCTCCCCGCGGGCGGAACCCGTATCGGTTCGCGAACAGAACGAGGAGGATCGGGACGACCAGGTGGAACACGATGGCGTGCCACGCGTGCCGTTTCGGAGATACCGCTTCCGCTGCATCGTCCGTTCCGCCGCACGCCGGCAGCGGGCTCCCCTGCCCGGTCGAAGCGGCACCGCCGCGGGCCCTGGGATCCGGATCCCGCTTGGCGCCGTGGTGGCCGTTGTCTTCGTTGCTGCTGCCGCTGCCGCTGCTGTTTGGCTCGTTGTGGTTCAGCTTGTTCCCAAACATGGCGCGCGTGGTTTGTTTGTAGTCGTCCCGTTTCTTCTTCCACTGGGCCTTGAGGCGCAGCAGCTCCTTTCTCTCGGCGGAAGACGCGCTTCCGTCCCCGCCTTCGGAAGCCATGGCCGATTCCGCCGCGCGGATCGCCGCCTCCGCCTCCCCGAGGGTCGACGCCGGATCCAGCAGCGCGGCTTTGGCGGCCCGGAGGAGCGACTTGGGGTGGTTTGGATCGACCTCCAGGAGGGCCACCGCGGCCAGCTTGGCGGCGTGGTAGTCCTTCTGCTTGAGGCGGACGGCGACGGTGTTTCCGAGGCAGTCCAGGCGGATCCTCGCGGCCTCGCGGTACTGGGGGTGGTCGGTGGTCCCGACCTGCCGGAAGTAGGTCCCGCCGAGGAGGGTTTCCATGTCGGCCGCGGCCCTCGCGTAGAGCCGCAGGGCCCGGTTCATGGCGTGCCCGCAGTCCGGGGCGTCCCCTTCGTCACTCTTGGGGCACCATTCGTTCCGGTAGACGTCGTTCGCGATCTGCTTCCTGGAAAGAGCCTTTTGGATGGTGAAGTACGGGTTGAGCCGGGAGGTGTCCATGACCTTTTGCTTTACGGTCACCCGGTAGACGACGCTCGAGTTCGGCGGAATCCTCTCGGGGATCTCTGCCGCGGTGTTGCTGCCGCTTTGTATCGTGGTCCGCGTTCCTCTCCCGAGGGCAAACTTCGGGTGCGACCTTGGAGGAGACAGACAAATGGTGAGCCATAACGAATCGAGACGAAACGATATGCCTTGCAGGTTATAGATGCATTCAGGTTACGGATGACTGCAGGACAGTGATAGGAACAATAGGACTCACCAGATCAGAGCTGTCTGGCCTACCCGCATGAAACGGATCCCCTGTGGTGTCAGCGAGATTGCAAAGCAAGAATCACGGTGAKGGAAACCCAGCTATCAACCGCGTGCAAACAGGGAAGCAAAAACGAACACGGGGAAGTCTAGGCTTTGTGCTCTGCGGCCGCGTGCAGTGTTGCACCGTTTTGTGTTGTTGTCTCGTACCATTTCGAGCGCCGGGAGGACATCGCCGTCTCCGACGACCACCAGCCAGTCGTCGGCTTTCTGAAAGAGCAATCCGTTTGGATCGGAAGGTTCATCGGCGGTCCGACCCTCGAAGGAAACGAGAACGGCCTGCTGCGGCTCGATGGTGCCGTTGTCGGTGTCCGCACCGCCGCCGCTGCCGCCCTTGCTCCCGGCAGAACCATCGGACACCACCTAGAAATTCGTTTGCGCCAACACGAAATTGCGTGTATTGCATCACGGAGCAGCACAGCGCAAGTGGAAGTTGAGAGAGTTGTACAGAACCTCCGGAGTATGAATCGAAAACGACGCGGCAACCGATCGACTGTACAAGACGCAGCTTCCACTCAATGATCGAACGCAAGAAACAACCCCAACATACCTTCATCAATAGTTCTTTCCCCATCAATTCTTGCCAGCCATTCTTGTCATCTTGATCTACCATGGTTTCAGAATGCAAGGCACCGAAAAGCAGCCCAGAGTCTGCATACAAGAAGGCTCTCGACGACTCCAAATCTGCTTTTGATTTTGTGCCGAGGAACCCATTTCATTTGTTTTGTTTCGTTTTGAATTGCTTCGGCCGCGGTGGGATACGCCTCGCGGAAGAGTCGCTTGTCAGGAAGTTGTCGGCGAATTCCTAGTCGAATGAATCGAACAAAAATCGAAAACTACATTACCTATGTACGGTATGTATCGTACCGTATGGTACTACCATACCCTCATTGTGCTTCGAGAGACGATCAATCACACAAACATGGTGACTCTCGTACTTCTACTTCAAAGATGATCATGACACCATTGAGAGATCATGAGCTTCTATAATCTATTGTGTCGAACCATTGTTAGAATACAGTCTCTCCAGCATGACATGGTGCATTCTTACAAGTATTGGATGGTGCAGTTGGGTGATAGACTTGTAGATGCTTCCATAATGGTACGAGTACAACAAAAGAAGGATGAAGTGGGAGTCTTTGAGAAAACAGTTTGTTCCACTGCAAGAATTATTCCTGGAAACGTAAATGTCCTATCTATCCCATAGAGCTTCCTGCTATACAATCTTAGAATGAAAACGACGAAATTTATGTTTCATTATTTGGTTTTGTATTGATTTGTTTCGCACTTAATACCAAGACGGTTTTGGTTCCTTGGTTTCGGTTTGGTTTAGCGGTACAGAAACTCGCTCATCAGGTTCTTGGCAATCTGCTTTTCCCACTTGTCTCCGTTGGAGAGCAGCTTTTCCTTGTCGTAAAGGAGCTCCTCGTGCGTCTCGGTGGCAAACTCGTAGTTGGGTCCCTCTACGATGGCGTCCACGGGGCAGGCCTCCTGGCAAAAGCCGCAGTAGATACACTTGGACATGTCGATGTCGTACCGGGTGGTCCGGCGGGCCCCGTCCTCGCGGGTCTCGGCCTCGATGGTGATGGCCTGCGCGGGGCAGATCGCCTCGCAGAGCTTACAGGAGATGCACCGCTCGTCGCCGGTGGGATAGCGCCGGAGGGCGTGCTCGCCGCGGAACCGGGGGCTCAGGTACCCGCGCTCGAAGGGGTAGTTGATCGTCACCTTGGGCTTCAGGCCGACCTCCAGGGCGAGGGAAAACCCGCGGACAATCTCCGTCAGAAAGAAAATCTGGGAGGCCCGGTCAAAGACGGTTTCCCATGGGGTCTGTGGTGCGGTTGTGGTTTGCGGCGAGAAAAACAACACAGACGCGGGAGAGCCAAACCGAAAGCAGTGATCGAACAGCATGGCAAACAAAAAACGGAAGGGGAACAGAATGGATCAGAAAGAAACAAAATTCTGTGAGAAAAAAACCTGGTGGATGCCATTGCACATGGCGGTGAATGGCTCGGCATGCTGGCCTGCTCGCGACAGAGTAGTACTATACGCACGGGAAGGATATTGTCGTCGTCGACGTCCGGATTCTTGGTGGCTGCGGAACGGGGGGTAGTCGCTAGGGATCGGAACGCAACGTGTGTGGCGTTTGTGGTTCTGTTGCCAACCGAAGCCGAGGCACCACTCGAGCGAACGAGGCCACGGTAGGCGGTATTCCGGAGCAAGTGCTGTGCGGAGATCATCGCGTGGCTAACTGTCTAACTGGTATAGCAATCGGTGTGTCTTGTTTGATCTTCTACCGTTGACTGGGCTATCTCCTGCACGCAAGAGAGAGGTACTATCCGAGCTCGAATCTCCTCTTTCGTACCGTAACAAGCCTCTTGTTTGGTGTTGATGTTGGCGCTTGATGCTGCGGTTACTCTTGCGCTGCGCAGGATCAGTTGTTGCGCTACGGCAGATTACGTGAGCTTTCTTTGTATGTCCAACGAACTTCTCTACAGCTCACGACGGACGAAATAAGCAGCAGCCGCGCGTTGTACGGTGCGATTCTGTACGCTATTGTACGGTGCAATACCATTGCAATTCTTCCAGCGAGCTATGACAGTACCGTACCTTACTATCGTACGGAAAGTACGCCACGCCTCTAAGGTTCGCTATTCGCCATCGCCGAACCATGAACCAAAAGAGACTGGAGGTGGAGTTCATTAGTTCATTTTGAAATTGGTTTAACTTTTAAGGTTAGGGATAATGGCACCCACCGAAAAGTCAGAATGATGACAACTTCTTTGACTTTCTGTCACCAACAAAAAATTCCTCTGCTCCGCTGCCATCAAACGATTTCGTGGTAGGACAAGGCCTCAATTGCCACATTGTTTCTGGTTAGTGCCCAAAGTACGGCATAGGAAGAGGATACTTAGACAGAGGAGTGCGTGCAATACAACTCTTCACATGAAACGACCCGGCGCAAAGAGAATCACAAAGCAACAAAATCCAGCAGCAGAAGCAGCAGCATCCACAAAAACTACGCTAGATCGGTACTGGATTTGGTGGCGTTGTTCCGTCGGTTCGTGCGTTTGCTGCCTTTCACTCTGGTGTGCGGCAAGCCTCGGCGTCTTATTGTTCTGCCAGCGGCCCAGCGCTAGGAACCACCACCGAATGCAAGCAGCTGTACCCCAGATGCTTTCGTCACGATCGAAGACAATTGCAACCACCGCCACCGCAATTCTATTTCGTCGATTCACTACAACTACCACTACCGTTTCCGGCTTTCGGTTGGTTTCCCCCGCGCATCGTCCGAGTCTACGAGCATTTGATCCAAGACAATCTCCGCTCTTGCTGGCATCCAATCCACCTGGAACACGAACGCCCTCCTCTTCGTCCTCTCCAATCCGGCGATACTTGTCTTCTGCCGGGCAAAACAACGACGGCAGCGCCGATTCTTCCAACAGCAGCACCGCCAGGGCCTCGTTTTCGGTACCAGACATGGGAACGGACGAAAAAGACAACGATGGTGTGACCACCACCGATGACAAGTACACGGGATACGAAAAATGGGTTCGGAGGCTGTACGCTACAAACATGTTCCATCCCGTGAAACTGGGCTTGGAAAACATGCACCTCCTGCACAAACTGTTGGGAAATCCAATGGACGACGTGAGTACAAATACGAATCTCTGCTCTTGTTGAATGTTGTCATTCTTGGACGTTACTGGTGTTCGGTCGATCTTCCTTCTGTGGACACCCGTTTCATAATTCATTTCTCACACCACCTTCGTCGCCAATCTGCTGTCTCTCAGCCGGACAGAGTTGTCGTTCACGTTGCCGGAACGAACGGCAAGGGCAGTGTCTGCCTGAAAATTGCAAACACACTGCGCCACCAACAACGAAAAGACCAGAACGGTAGACCACTGAATGTTGGTATCTTCTGCTCTCCCCACGTCAGTTCCTTTCGCGAACGCATGCAAGTCAATGGAAAAATGATCACGGAAGAGGAAGTAATAGAACTCCTGCCACAAATATACGATCTCTGTCTTCCGGAAAACAACGACATCCCGGCAACGTTTTTTGAAATCACCACGGCACTAGCCTTTTTGTTCTTTGCAAAACGGGGGGCGGATGTTGTGGTATTGGAGACGGGCCTCGGGGGACGCCTGGATGCTACGAACGTCATTGCGAATCCGGCGCTGTCCATCATTACGTCGATCGGGTTGGAGCACACGAGGATACTCGGCGATACCATAGAACTCATTGCGGTGGAAAAGGGGGGAATCATCAAGAAGGACCGACCCGTGCTGGTGGGGCCCCATTGTCCGCACGACGTGCTGACAGAATGTGCACGACAAAAAGGCGCGGGACGGTATTACACCCCGAGCCTGGTCCAGGGAACGCTCCGGGACTTTGAGAACCCTCCTTCCGAGGAGAGCGCCACCAGCGAAGATCCCGCCGATTACGACATCGAAAACCAGGACATTGCCAAGGCGGCTCTGGTCCTCCTCGAACAATCCCACGGCGACATTTTTGGAAAACGCCTTTCGCCCGAAGAAATCGACCTCCACACCTCGATCCGTCCGCCCTGTCGCTTCGAAACGATCCGAAAGGACGATGCTACGGTCATACTGGACGTGGCCCACAACCCCTCCGCAATGGAATACCTCGTGTACAAACTGAAAACAACGTACCCGGGAACGCCCTTTCGCTTCGTAGCCGGAATGTCGTCCGACAAGGACCTGGGGCAGTGCGCGAGGGCCCTGCTTTCCGCGACGGACGGGTCCTCGCACAACATCCACCTGGTGCAAGCCGCCCACCCCAGGGCGGCCTCTCTCGAAAACATTCTCGCCGCCGAACCGAGGCTGGAGTCGGCGGCGCACTACGATTTCGACGACCGAAGCATCACCAAGCAGGTGCTCAAGGCACTGGAGTTGACAAAAGAGAACAAGAATGGCGAGCTGCTGGTGGTGTGCGGGAGCGTCTTCCTCATGGCGGAAACCAGGGAAGCGCTTGGCATCGACGAGCCCCGCGATTCGGACTACATTACCGAGATGGCGGGGGCTGGCATTCGCCACGGGCAGGAAAATTTTGGCAACACAAAGATGTAACAGAAGAAGGAAAGAAAAAAGGCAGGAACCTGAACATGTTTGGATAGATAGAAGTTGATTTTGCATTTCATTTTTTATCCAGCAGCATGGTCTAAAGTTAATTAGTTTCATGTTCATTTTCCTCTGAACAGTGACTGCTTCTAGTAATGGAGCACTAACAGCGCACGGCTTCGGACCTTGCGATTTGTGGCTCTCTACTGGGCTCTCCCGCTGGGAGTTCCATGTTCTCCTCGTTCGTCACAACAACCAAAGGCCGCGAAACGACGTTTTCGGAAGCGTTAGTCTCTTTTTTTCTGCAAATGTAGACGTAGTCGTTTCTTTCGGGGTGGACACAAAGCAAGATACGATATTTAGCTGGCGGTTCGAATATGTGACAACCATACGTTGTGGCATAGTCTAGTTCCATCTCGCCAAAACACATGAACAAAGAGAAAAACAAATGCCACGCCACCTACCTTTGGTTCTTCCTGGCCACGGGGTGAACGCCAATGTTCTCCCAATAGTAAGAGGGATCGTTTTGGTGCTCCAAAAACACGAGCCGGTTGTCGGGGCTGCCGTAGCTACAGAGGAAGAAACAGCCGTGCCCTTTCGCTAGGACGCGTTCGCACTCGGCTACCAACCGCTTGGCATGGTTCACCGATCCACTGCTGCATAGGATTGCGTCAAAGGTTCCCTTGCAGACAACCAGATCAAACTCATTGTCGCAAAAAGGCAGCCCCTCCGTGATATCAGCACACACGAATCGCATACTCCCCGGAGCGAAAAATTGTTGCTGTTGCTTTCCCTTCCGTTCGTTTTCTTTCCTCCGGTACCTCTTTTCCATTTGGTCGATCACCACGGTGGAAAAGTCTATGCTTACGATTTCACCCAGCCATCCATCGCTTTGCATGTCTTCTCCAAATGTAGAATTTCCACAGCCGAGAACCAAAACGTGGCATTTTTCACGTGGCGGGAAATCGTCAGGCAGGCCGTTGGAAGTATCGGGGGCGGCTTCGAATAGATGGCGCAAGCTTCCATAGGTTTGGTACCAGTCATATGTGCCAACATCGCTGCACGAAAGCAATGTGAGAAACGATAGATTGTAAGAAAACCGAGCAAGGCAATAGTCTGTATTCAGACTTCGTAAGTAATGTACTGCACTCGTTTATGCAGTACTAGTCACTTGTTATTCGTCTTACCCAGAGTGAGTGTAGCGCTCCTCCCAGTATTGTAGCTTTCCATAAAGAGCCATCTGATTTGATTTGGTTCGGTTTATTTCGATTTGATTTAGCTTGATTTGAGAGTAGACTGCGATAGATATTTTGGAAGGAAACGGAAACGACGAAGCAGAAACGATAGTTCCGCTGATCCGCTCGGCAGCTTCTTTGCTCCGTACGATCATCCCCAGGCTAGCACTATTGATTCCCAGCACTCACTTCTATACTGGAAAGGCTTACGAGCGTGGAGACTCTCTCACTTGAAGGTGCAGAATTGTATCCTGTGAAAACATGAAATACATACTTTGTCTGTAATAATATTATGTGTATTTGTCGAGTGAACAGGGATAAAGAAATTCTCACGAATAATTAATACTACTACGACGTGCTACGAGAAATATTATCTTAGCATTCGTTTTTCGACGTTTGTGAATGAAGGAACACGAAAACCTAAAATTCAATGCCGGGTGTGCGGACAGACCTGTCACGTCGCATCCACCCACTAGCAAAACTCGGACGTGAAAAACCGCGTACCTTCTTCCACAGGCATGGCACCATACGTACCCGTCAGTACCAAAGACGTACCGAAGTACAAAGTTGTTCGTAACTCCAAACCTGCCGGTCGGGGTTGATACGGAACTCGGAACCCCATCAAACAGATGCGGTTTTGTTTGAATGAATGAATCGTACGTACCTAGTACAGTACGATACGATACAATGTTGTCGGCTGCGTTCCACGACGCTCTTCACTACGTTTCTACAACAACTCCAACTTGTGTTCATCTCTTGGAACGCTAGCAAGAAACGCAACACATCATGGAAGACAACACGATGGACCACGATGGGTCGCATAACGATCCTGCCGAAGCAGCGATGGGTGCCACGGATGACATCGTCGACGACGTGGATGATTTCATCGACATGAAGGATGCGGTCGAGGTGCGGGTGGACGACGATCTCCCGATGGAGGAAGACGCCGAGGACATGGGTATAGCAGACAAGGAAGAAGCAGCGGGAGCCGGACCGACAGAAGCCGACGTCCCCGATATGTCGAATTTTCGGCTAACGTCGCACACTGATTCTGTATATGCGGTGGCCGCTTCCCTGGAAAACGGGATGCTCTCGATTTTGTCGGGAGGAGGGGACGACAAGGCCTTTCAGTACAAGCTCTCCAGCGAAAACGGCGCGCGATCGACGTCCACACAACCTCTGCCGTATGCCCACACGGATACCGTTTCCAGTGTGGCCTACAACACACAGTACGTCGGGAGCGATCCCAATAAGACCCCAAAGCTGGCCGCCGTGGGATCCTACGACGGATCCATTTTGATATACAATCCCGACACCGGGGAGCAGCGCCTCAAGCTCGAGGGTCCCTCCGACGTCGAGTGGATGTCCTTCCATCCCAAGGGGGGAACGGTGCTGCTGGTCGGATCGGGCGACGGGACCCTCTGGATGTTCCACGTCCCCCTCAACCGCTGCATGCAGGTCTTTGTTGGCCACGAGCAGGCTGTGACCGCCGGGTGCTTTTCGCCCGATGGCAAGTGGGCGCTGAGCGCCAGCTCCGACGGAACCCTGCGGATCTGGGCCCCGAAGACGGGTCTCAACAAGCACGTCTTCCGGCTGGGGGACGCCGGTCTCACCTGCATGGCCAACAACGGCGGGAGCGACGGCATGTTGGTCATTGCCGGTGGCGAGGACGGGGTGGCCCACGTGTGCCACATCGGAACAAAGAAGGTGGTAGCCTCGCTGCGCCACTTTGAGTTCCCGGCCAGCACCAAAGAACCGGCAGGCGACGAAGACAACGAGGAAGAAATGGAGTACCCCATGAGCATCGAGGCCGTGGGATTTTCTCCTTCGCAGCCCAACTGGTGCGCCACGGGCGGGGTCGACGGCAAGCTCAAGATCTGGGACCTGGCCAGGGAAGGCCAGTGCCGCCAGGTCTGCTCCCACACTCATGCCGACGCCGCGGACGGAATCACCCGGATCTGCTGGCATCCCACCCTCCCGTTTGTCTTTGTATCCACCATCAGCGGCAAGGTGCGGGCCTGGGACGCCCGAAGCGGGATCCTCCTGCACACGCTCACCGGTGGATCTTCGGAGCAAATCAACGACATGGTTGCCAACTTTCTCCCCAACGGATCGGCCGTCATCGCAACGGCCAGCGACGACAACACTGTCCGTGTCTTCGAGCTCGATGTCGCCGTCCTTACAACGCCGCAAGCGGCGCCTTCCGCCGACGCATCGGCGATGCAGTCATAGCAGATTCATTGTTTTAGAGAAGAGTCCGTGGCCGAGGCGCCTGCAATTGATTTTCGCAGAACTCATACATAATACTACTACAAGTAATATTCTGTTCGATTGGCTGCAAGAAAAAGTGTTTTTTCCTCGTCCGTGTTTTTTATGTTAAGAGAGATCTTAACCAAATTGGCGTGAAACAAGTACTGAAATAGTCTTGTCTATGGTTCTCGCGGAACCAGACAAGGATCCCCCGAATTTATTTTTGAATCGCTTGATTCGAAATCTTTTGATACTCCGAGGAATGTCCTTAAATAACGCGAGTGACGTCAGATTGTGGCTGGAACATGAAACTAACGCGGTTCTAAGAAAAAATACATGCTGGATATCCAAAACACGTCGGTCGGTCGGTGTGTGAGCTTTTTGTCGCATACAGAAACAATTTTTTTCACCGGTTCCCCCCTCCGGTGGTGTGGCGCTTCGCCGGTACATAGTCGTACATCCTCTGCTTCGCTACTTTGTTTGTGTCTTTTTACCAAACAGCCAAGCTGTTGTATGTCTTGAAAGACAGAACCGTTTCTCCCGAATTCTTGAGAGGATAGGAGTACCGTACGGTAATATTAACGTTACAGACGTGAGTGCGCCTCGCCAGAGATATATCAATTCCTCTCCTAGAGAGACACTGCCTCGCACCTGTGGCCTCTGTTCACTTGAACAAATCGGCAAAGAACACAATCTATTAGATTTCTCAGTAGAAGAAAGGGTTAAGTGCAATTTGTACTTTCATCAGGAGTCGAAATAGACCCATCCATAACGACACCATCTCGTAGTCGCAGTGATTGAAGGCCAGAGCAAAAGTCGCTGTTAGTGGAATTGTAGACGAACAAGACAGTCTTAAAGACGTCGAAACCCTCCTCTCGAAGAATAGTAGACCCAGGGAGTTGGATACTGGATCGCTATGACAAATTCCAACGCAGAACAAGAGGTTGGTCGCACTGGCGATGTCGTAGAATATCCCGTGCTGGTCAAATCAACATCTTCTCAGTCTAAGACTACGGAAGGAGATGTCACAGCTCCCAACAGCACGTCGAGTTCGCCTCTCTCGTTTACCCAGACGCCAGGCTTGAACAGTAGCAGCAGCCACCACAACATCTCGACAACCACCACCCAGGAATCCCTTGGGGCTGTGACCTCCATGCACGACTATCAGCAGGAAAACCGCAATTCGCCTCCTCATAACCAGAATAGTAGCAGCAACAACAACATAGACAAACTCTCCCGGGGACCCCTCTCTCCCCAGTCCGCTCCACCGTCTACCTCTATTCCCGGGGCGTGGGGCTCGGCTTCTTTGGGAAACACTCCCGTACCATCGGTGATCCACACCGAAGCGGGCGTCGAGGGTCCTGCCCCCGTTGCGAAAATCAAATCGCACGGATCTGCGCCGTATTTTCCAACGATCGATCGGACCACCTCGGGGAACATGAGCATGGGGTCTGCTTCCAGTTCTGGAAACCTTCTCGCCAAAAAGAACAGCGCTACGAAGACGACGGGGAAAAAGAAGCACCAGACCATGAAGCCCAAAAAGTCGACCAGCGGCAACACGACTCTGACCCAGTCCATAACGAGCAACAATGCTAGCAGCTCTCAGGACGCTCGCGGTGGTGCCGCTTCTTCCACTGGCCAGAAAAAGCAAAGGCGGTTAGAACGGAACCGGCTCTCGGCGCAGCTCTCGCGCCGACGACGCAAGCAGTACCTAGAAGAACTCGAGGAACGTGTTGTCAAGCTATCCCTGGACATGGATTCCGGTCGCCGGGCTCATGCGTTTCGCGCTATCAACCGGATATCGGAGAAACGAAAAGGGGCTCTGGAATCCGTGGAAAGCCTGGCAAAGAGCATCGAGGAATGTGACCCCAACGAGAATGACGGATACGGGAACAACAAGCGTGGCATGCTCATAGGAAAACTTGAATTCTCGCTGAAGAGCTTGGAAGACACAGGGCACCTTTCGCGGGTAAACAGCAAGGAACTCTTGATTCTCAATTCTTTCCTTGGACAGCAGCTGAAGAGCTTCTCGCTGCCGTCCCATTCAAAGTTTATTTTGTGGCTTACCCTGCAGGGTGACATATTTTACAGGGGGGGACGGGCCGCGAGCGAGCGCCTTTCGGCGGCACGCATTGGGGAAAAAGTAAGTTGGTCTCGGATTGTTGATTATGAGTGCGTTCGTTTCCGTTCTGTTTCTCGTCGTATCTTCGTTGCTTTCTTAAAGACTTGACACCTCAATCTATGCTTTCTTATTGGTTTCGTTTGCGGATGTTTTGACCATTTCATTGATAGATGCTGGCAAATGGTACCGACAAGGTGACTCCGGCAAGCGCCATGTGGCCACTCATTTGTAACGAAGTTGGCCTATCCTACGAGTTGGAAGAACGCTTACGCGTTTACCAACGAACGATTATTTTGCAGGACAAGACGACCTGGCTGGATCGGCACACCGCTCGTTCCTCGGCCCTCGTGATGCAGTCGTTCCATAACGCACTAGGTGGGATGGCGCAGATGGTGGGGCGCCGGGAGAGCGAAATGTCCCAAAACATCTTGACCCCGTTGCAACGAGCCAAATTCCTTGCCTGGACCCACAAGAATTCTTCTCGCATAAAGGAACGACTCGAAGCCAGACGAAAACGACCCTTGGATCAGCAAAAGGATGCGAAAACTGTTGGTGTTGAAGAGATCGATATTGGGTCATGTGTGGATCGTAACTACCCGCTGAAGAAATCGCATCACTTGGCCGCTAATATGTATATTCTCAACCACCAACTGCAGAGAATTCTCAAGGACTTCCCATACCAGTCTCCTTCTATTCTGAAGCCGTCAGTCTTGAAAAAGCTTATGCGTCGAGCATCGTTTGAGTCGCTTGGACAACAAAAGGAAGGAAATCTCCCACGGGACGACTCATTCATATCCGGCGGTTCGATGAAATCATTTTCGTCCAACGGTTCGCTGAGCAAGAGCGGATCGAGTCTGAGCTTGGGCGGTGGAAACGATTCGGAACGGCCGACAGCTCTGAATCAAATCACACCCACAGTTGGAGAACAAGCAGCGGACGAGTTAGTAGATCAGGCAATAGGATTCGTGAAAGCGATCATTCCTCCTATTCCCAAACCCACGATGTTGATGAAACCCAATGTTCACGCTTCGGCTCAGAATATTGCCGGTGTAGCAGGATCATCTCAAAGGCACGACAAACAAGTAGTGATGGATATGGATTATCACAATCATTGCCTGGTCCCGGTCCCTGTGGGTTCTTATGGTGCTCCTGAGACTTCGGCCGCGGTCCCTCCATCGAACCAACACCCTTATCAACAATTATCTATACCAGTCCATCACAATGGTTCTCATCCGCCACCTCCGCTCAATTCGCACAACTATCAGGCTCCTCCCCAGCTGACGTATCAATCGCCACAAGCTCCCGAAAACTATCACCAGCCACCACACAGTCAAGCAGAGCATTACTATCCGCCCCAGCAGCATGTCCATTATCCTCCACAGGCGATGGGATCCCACCATGGCGAGCCAATGACGCCGATGGACCACATAAATCACGACTCGATTGCTCGTGGGTTTGAGGCATCGTCGCCCGTGGTTCGGCAAGATCGTGAGCAGCAACAACACGAACAATCGGCAATGAAAGGTAGGCACGTACGAAAGTCGTCCTTCTTGCCGCCCCATTTGAGTGTGGTTCCTGAGGACAACACAAACTTCACTGCAGCCGACTTTTTGGCTGTAGAGGACTGCCTCATGGACGACGGAGATTGCGATTGGGGCATCGGAATTGGTGTGGGCCTGGACAATATGGACACTACTGAGTAGAAGAAAGTACGACGTTCGAGTCGGAAGGATGCGTTTTACTCTTGTGTCGCACTTGAAACAGAGGCGCCACGCAGCTTCAAGGAATCAATCAAGGAAGCCTTCACATCCGCATAGCACACATATACAATACATTACATTCATCCGGAAGCTTCCTTGCATACACGCATACACATACACATACACACAATTCCATATCACTTGCAATGGACACAAATCATACAACAGACAACAGCATACATTAATTTACACATACAACATAGATAGACGATTTCTTCAGAAGAATGAAGGGATCACAAGCATCCTTCACGACAAGAATCAAGATGTAAGTCGAGTTACAAACCAAAACGAATACACACACACACACACACGGGGAAACGAATTCCCTGTTTCGTTTCGATTGGGTATCATGCGCTCCACAAATATCAGTCAGGGGTGTATACACGGAACCCAAAACATGTCACCATGATTATTTCAGATCACTGGCACATGGCAATCGAAAAATCAACGATGGACACGATCTCACACGCAACGCAGGAGAAATAGAAACGAGATTATTCTCGCTGAAATCTCGCTGTAGCCACCAATACAATGCAACACATACTGTTAACGACAGACCGATACTTTCGCTGTGTTGTTTTGATTGATTCAATAGTACGTTCGATTTCATTCATAGAACGGCCAAGCAACAAGCATGCATGCACCCGAAAGAATGCCCGTGGAAAAGGTTTCATAATTAATTTAATGATACCAACGTTTTTCGACAAAATTGATGTCTATTTGATTCCTGTGTTTTGCCTTTGCAGTTGGAAGGCGAAGTTTGCCGCAGCAGCACTATGGAATCGGCTTCCTGGGTTTGTAGTACAGCCGAATATGAATTTAGGTTGTTTTCCCTGTGTTTGCGGCGTGAGATAGCAATAAAAGAAAGGGATGATACGTCACATCACTATTTGCCAGAAAACAACTCTGGCAAGGCTTTGCTGCGCATTTCCTTGGCCTCTTCGTCCACTACCTTCCGTAACTCAGTAGTAGTACTATTGCTGCCTCTCTCGTTTCAGCCATTGCAGAAATCACCATTGCGTGTTTCTCTGTGCCTTCCTCTTACCTTTCATTTGTTGTTCAAACAATGTCTGTTGTTGGTGGGGTTTTACTTCTTTGAATATCACCAACATTGTCTGTGGGATGAAGATATGACAGTACAACAGCACTACTAGTAAATAGTATGCAGATTTGTCTTGTCACAAATATGTACAAGTGTTAATTCCTCGTGTTTCTGTAGCTTGGCCAATGGCTCCTAAAAAAAGTTTATTCATTTTGCTTCTGACAAGAAACTTGTTTTTTCTTCTTCTTGTATCGACTTTCCTGGTACTACTACTTCTAGTAGTAGTTTCCTATCAACTCTAGCTGCTCAATAGAAAGAAGAATGTCAGAAAGGATGAGGTCAGTGGCATTCAAAACACAGTATTGCTAGTAGTACTAGTAGTAATAGTAGTACTAGGAAGGAATGATTAACTTATCCATACAATAACTTTTTGAAGTAGTAATATTTACTACTACTTGCAAGTAGTACTACTACTACTAGTAAGAGCAGCAGAGGCATTTTTGACAAGAAGTTGCTGATTTTATAGTACCGGTAGCTAGTACTAGTTTTCAAAATCTAATACTACTTTCTTCTATTTTTTCTTAGAGAACCAAAATAGGGTTGCTTTCCCTCTCCATGACAATCAGTGTACTAGTAGTCTTAGTAGATTGCTGTGATGAATTGTTGTACTATTACTATACAAACAAGAAATATTCCTCTTCTACTACTTGTAGTAGTACTACTAGTACTACTAGTAATGGTACATTAAATCTGGGAAGCAACAAGAAAGAGGATGTAGGAGAATCACAATATTCAGGTCAGAAAAAGAGGTGTTTGTTGGTGGGGAAGAACTCCTCACTTTCAAAGTCCTATTTGATGGGATAGCATTTTCTTTGGCATTTGTTAGTATTGGTGGATTACTAATGGTGTGAAAACACGAAGAAGAAAAAGTCACTGGTGAAGAGAAACAGCAGTACTGTGACGTACTAGTAGTAGCACTAGGTTTCCTTCTTTATCACTTGTGACAAGGAATATCTGTAAGGACCAGTGAGTCACTCTTCACAGCATAGCTACTATTAAGGAGAAGTAAAGCTCAAAGTACTACTAGTGCCAAAATTCAAGAATAAGAAGAATGTAATACTTCGTAGTAGTACAGTAAATAGGAGTCATTCTGTTTTAATCGTGGCAAGCATATGCTTCTTATCTGATCGGGAATGACCAAGCCCAGTCAGATTCTTTTCTCCCGCTCGTACGTACCAGGTAGTGTACCAAAAAACGTACCATAATACGGTGGGGCTTAGTACATCTGTCATCCGATCTTGTCAATTCAGTCAGCCGAATGGATCTGTTCTCCGCTTTTTGATAGCTGTCATGCACGTTTCTTCACAAATTCAACAACCAAATCAGTCATTGCGATTCTAGGCCATGACGAATATTTAAAAAACACTTCTAGCAATGGGCCTAGTTTCAGCGTTTGAAGGGTGTTTCCACATTGGGGCCTTCTTCTCTCGATCGTGTTGTGGAGTAGAGTACGTTTCACGATTGATGTAACAGTTTGTATGAACAGTTCCTTCTTCAAGTGCGCATCGTTTCCCGGAACTGGTTGTGTTGACATCTCGCTCGGCGGCAATCGTACTTGGTACGCGTTCCGTTTGCAACTCGGGAAAAATATGTGTGCTTTTTCGTGCCATTGCGGAAGCGCACAATATTTGTCTCACGAGACAACAAACAACAACATCCTACAACTACAAGGCATCGACTGGTACTAGTACGTTGGGAGCACGACAGAAGCTGTACAAACAAACCAAACCATGCACCTTTTCGTATTCGAACTCGGACTCATAGCAGCCGTTGCATCGAACTTCCTTGGTTTGGTGACGGCACAGACCGACTGTTCCTGTGGTATCGACTCTCCTTCCGCCGGATCCTTCAAGTGTGGAAACAATATCTACATCTGCCCCGGCGTCGAGCGCATCTGCTCGAAACAGCCCAGCAAGAACGGAAGCTATTACGTCGTGACAGAAGACCAGTGCGACAAAATGAAGACCCTCGCGATCGGCCAGGACTGCATTGCCCTGCCGCAGCACGCAGACGTTCCGATCCGCGCACTGAGCAATAGGGTGTGCTATGACGCTTCGCCCAAAGGATTCAACGGCGTGAAAGCCGACGGGGGTGGGTGCGAAGCGTGCAAAGACGGAATCGACCTCTTCGGCCCCGAAGGACCGCTCGGCGTGCACACGACGGAGCCTTCCGTCCAAGCGAGCGGCACGGTCGCACCCAGCGAATTTCCTCCGGACGAATCCATCCAAACCACTGCGTGTCCCGACGACATCAGGCTCTTGAAACAAGACGGCAATACACCCTTTCCCGAAAACTACCGAGGCATTCAAATCATCGGACAAGAACCGTCTGCTGTAACCGTTGATTTGGGGCAGCATTGGACTGTCCCAATCACGAATGCGGAGTGGAGCGATGGGGGTGGTGTGCATTCTGTATTCTACGCTTTCAAGGAAAATTTGTTCTCCTATAAGTGCTACGAAGAAGAAAACGCCGGAAGCGATGGTGTCGTTTTCGATAGAATTACTATAGCTTGCGGTATCTTATCCCGGGTTGCCCACCTCGAGATCTGTGTTGCCGATGAAAGCGGAACCATCATTGATTCTGGTGACCACGCCGTGATTCCAAAGTGTTGCCACCCGGACATACCTGGCGAAGTCCCAACGGTTTGTTACCACTTTGAGATCCAGTGTCAGACCCAGTGCTTGAACAATGATTACGATGCGCTTGATCGCAGGCTGCTGCGCAGTGGTAGCTCCGTGAGTTAGCTCCAAACTAATGAAACAATTAAGGCATTAGTACAGAGGAGTAAAAAGAGGTCTAAAATCCAAACACAAACCAGCACAGATAAGATATAGAAAATAAACTAAGGGTCAACTCACTCTTACTGCTATATCTTCTTCTTGGACCCCCCCAATGGTAATGAAGAGAGGATTTTGGGGCTACTATAGGACATTACAGAACAATAGAAGGATGTACACGTCTGTACTGGTATGCAATATTAAAAAAATGTACAAATGAAATCATACAGTTTACAATCCACCACTATATTTCATGTCACTAACAGCTTCTGCTGAGAAGCTACAAAAATGGCTAGTAATAGTACAAAGAGGAAGTTGTGGTGCCCAACTACAACCCACCATAACTGCTGACATTGCTACTATTACTCCCAGTACTAGTAGTAGTAAATGGAGAAAACCAATCACTACAAGAACCAGTGGCAGCAACAACATCATGTCCATAGTACTGGTGTGTATGATGTAGGAACCACTATGAGGCTGCAGTTTAATGATTGTACCTGGGTTTGCTGATAGTAGTGCGTCTTCAGCCAATTTGATGATATGACTCATGATGTAATAGAAGTCAGCTAGCAGGAGTAGTGTTTCCATAACACTAGCTTGCTGTACTGCTTGTACCTCTAAATTTCCAACTCATACCTTTACAGACATCTTCTGTAGCTGTACCTTGGTGATTTTTGGTACAGAATAAAAATATATCATCTTGTACTACTAATCTTACTCCTTCTTTGCAAAAGATTCCTTGTCCATAGTCTGCAAAAGTTCTCCCTTTTGACTCAATTGACCTTTTTTGATTCAAAATGGTGGAAGTCAAGATAAATCAAACTTGATCAACTTTTTGAAAAACTTCAAAGCAGTTGATTAGTACAACAGTTAAGCACAACCTGTTTGATGATGATGATGATGTAATTGGGATTTAAATTGCTGGTCAGTGGTAATTGTTCTTGGTATTTGGACATGAAATGAGGATAAGTACAAGTAGTCTATTTGCTTGGCATGGATTGACATTTTGTTGCTTGATTTTGGCAAGAATTTAGATTGATGCTCTTTGTATTGAGTCATCATCAGATGATTAGAAACAGTCCATTGACTGTTGGCAATTTTGATTGACACTCTTTATATTCAAACATACTATGATATACAAAAAGGAGTCTACTAGTAGTAGTTGTTTGTCTGGGATTGTGGTTTGAAAATTATTTAAAAGCTCTTTGTATTGAATAAGAAAACTGTAGTAAGGAGTCCATTAGTAGTTCTTAATCATGGATGGGAACTTCTTAATCATGGATGGGAACTTCTACTAGCATTTGTCCACTTTACTAGTAGATCAAGAAGAACTATCTTCATATTGAGTCATCATAAGATAAGAAACAGAAGAAGAGGAGATCTTGATATCAATATTCTTGCAAACTCTTGCTGTTTACCCTTTTTATCACATGAACGTTTTAAACTCCTCACAGGCCTCAGCCAAGGTTTTCATGCACTGAGAGAATACAGGATCTGGTGGTTTTGGTCTATCATTCCAGATTTTGAGAGATAGTAATAGCAACAACAATGAGGACCTTCCAGCAACTCCAATTTTGCTGTCAAATTTTGAAAGTTCCCTTGTTTACTTAGCACTCATCAAATAGTTTCATTTAGCCCCCAATAAAATATGACTATGTAGAATATGTAGAAACAGTACTGAAAACTGGAATTATGCATGAACATGATTGAAAATTATTTTTCACAAACAAAATTACAAAAGGTATTGACACAGCAAACACAACAATGGCACTGCCCTCTTTCAAATAAAAAATGACCAATATTATGAAAGCAAGAAGCTATACTTATACAAAGTACAGCCTCAAAAATTACTCTACCTTGGCTATCATGTGCAAGTATTGGCGTATCAAAATGACTATTGGAACCCTTTCAACCCCTTAAAATCAAAATGAAATGAAAAATCACCCTGTTTGAAGGCTTATTTCAATCTTACTATTGGAACAAGTCTAATTGTACTAGGGACAAGAACAAGAATATGCCAAAAAAGAACCATTCAAATTGACCAAAAGTTGGGCTTATTTCAGTAGTAAGTTGCTTAGGGGACAGTCATTTTTGGACAGAGGAAGTAGGTGATTTCAATGTTTACATGGTTGATCATTGGTAGGGAAGGGGTTTGATGTTGCTGACTTAAAAATATTCACTATTCTGATATGGATCTTTAAAATCCAGCTTGACTGAACCAAAAAGGAATTGAAGTAAATTGGAATATCACTTGTTGAACTCTCCCACTGTGGGATTCAAATAAAAAATTTCACTCCTCTTGCACAACTCTACCAGAGAAATAAAATAAATTGGCAAAGAACTTGGCCTTTCAAACGTCAGCCCTCCAATAATAATCAAAATGGATTCTGGACTGTATTATTTTAACTCACAAAATGATTTCCTTCAGGTTTACAGGATACACACAAACTCAGAAAGTAAACAAAAAAGGGGTTCAAAATATAGTTACTAGTAGTATTATACTACCTCCGTTCCTAAATAATGGTACAGATTGCTCTTGGGCTCCATTAAGCTCAATATTTGGGAAATTTGACTGGTGCTTTGTTTTTTATTATGTTGATCTTATTTAATACCATTTCTTGAACAATGTGGTGTGCCTTTCAATGCCTTACCAGCAGCAATAAAGGAATAAGAAGCTGTCAAAAAGGCTTATTCTTTCATCTCAATATGATACTAGTAATACTGTCACTTGGGGTCTAAAGGTCATTTTGATACACGACCACTACTTGCACACTACTATGATGGCTAACAAGACTGAGAGCTTTATCATGATATTCTTGTTATGTTCGTAGAGAGTTTTCCTTTACTGGTCATTCTTGTTCAAAACAGGTGCACTGTACCATTGTCAATATATTGCTTCCCGTACTAATATACTGTTTAATTTCATGTGCAAAAATAAATTTTATTCACATGCATGCTCATTTCTAGTCTCTAGTACTGGCTCTACCACACATTCTCCACATTCTCTACAGTCATACAAAGTCATACACAGTCATACACAGTCATTTGTAGAATTCAACAGCCAAAACCTCCAAAATCTGTTAAGTAAATACTGCACCATTATTTTGTTGAAAAAAATAAAGTAGGGCAAACTGTACCATTACATTTACTAGGGACAGAGGTAGTATTTGTTAGGTAGATGGTTTTATAATAAGTATCAAGTAATTCTACTACAAAAATTAGACCTCACTTCAGCAAAACAGGCTTTGGAAGAAGAAACCAAACACAAAAGATATGCTACTGCTACTAGAACTAATACAACCATAGTAGAGTAGTAAAGAGGAGACTTATTTGTGCTTCTTGTTGTTGTGACAATAGTGCCCGTTAAATTTGTCAGGGAAGGCTTGTTGGTTCTTGTTGCTTCCAAAGACATCTTGGGTGGATCAATTCCATGGGCCAAATAGTACTAATAGTAGGAGTAGACTATTCCACATTCATTCCACAATTCTGGCAGTGAATAGCAAAAATAATTCTTAGTAAAGCAGAGGAACTCCCACCATACCACCAAAACTAACACTGGAAGATTCCAAAAACAATGTTTTACAGTGCTACTTGCAACCTTTGTCCACGTTTCCTTGGTTGTGGCAGCGGACAAGACATGGATGCCAAGATACTCCACCTGGTATGGAGGCAGATATTTGTTGTAGTAAGAGGTCAGATGATATGCTTTTGTAGTTTTGCAAGCTGCAGTTGGTAGTAACTTGGGCCATGCAATGATGGCAGTGCTGGTTGCCTGCACACTAGTAGTGCTGCCATTAGCACACCCAACTGTGACTCCCATGGAGGTGGCTTGTTTGTTTTTGCATCATTGGTAACTCTCTTGGAGGAAATGATAAGCAACTCCAGAATAGAGGGAGGACTCCAGTGAGGGAGGCAGTGTGTCAAGGGTAGTAGCAATGGGGGTTGCAAAGTGGACCTTAGCACATGAATTTGATTGGTTAGACTTGAAGGGACCTGGAGAAGAATTGCATGGAATAACAGATAAACTATTGGGTGATTCCCGTTAATCTAGAAAGTCTAAATATTGATAGACAGACAGACCAAAAATAGACCATCTAGTCTCAATTTTTAGACTTTCTGTCAACGCACGATCCTGGCTTGACAGAAAGTCGAAATCTAGACCGGAATCCAGGCAAGAATGAAAATCCGTTGTAGGACTCAACTGAAAAGACCCGCCAAATTTAAGACTGAAAGAATTTACTAAAAAATTAGAAGGCGCCGGCGCCAGTATTTTTCTGTCATAACACCAAAGAGAAAGACAGCAATAACCATGTCCCCTGTCTTATTCGCTACGCTTTACGTTAGATTGAAACAAAGAGAGGCTCAACTGCTGGAGGCGCTGTCTCAAGGGAGCAGGACGCCGGGGGGGAAAATCCCTCACACAATCTTCATTGTGCAAGCAAGAAAGATGCTGTCCCCTACTGGTCCTTATGCAACCATTCCTCCATGTAATGGGGGACGCTTTCCTCCAGCAGCTGCACCGGCACCAGCTGTCCCTCGTCCCCCGGGAGGTCAATCAAAAGTAGAGGGGTCTGGTYGTAAGGCTGGTACTGCAAACTACTCTGAAGCAGAGCTCGTCTCATTGATGACTCTCATCAAGGAGATCCTTCCCATTGGTAAGGGAGACTGGCTCCTAGTGGTTCACAGACATGGACAAGACTGGCCCTATGGAAGAACAAAGGATTCCATCAAGACCAAGTTCAATCGACTGAGGAGAATGAAGATTCCTACTGGGAATCCAAATATTCCCGAGTCCGTACGCCTTGCAAGAGAGGCCCACCAGTTGATTGGAATCAAGGCAAATATTGGAACTGGAGAGGAGACCTTTGATCCAGTCAAAGGTTACATCAATGATGAGGATGATGAGGACTTGGATGAGGACTTGCAGTATGCTTTAACTCCAAAAGCAAGCAAATCGGGCAAAACAGCATCGACTTCCGAATCGACTGCCATTGTCGGGGATGATGACAACAAACAAGAACCCATTGTTGTGACAGCACCAACTCCAA